ATATTAACAGCCAATCAAGTACTTTTGAAGGGTAGTTACTATTACAATGTTGCAAGCATTTTACTCAATTTGAGCACAACATCCCACAAACAACAATGACTGATAATTTATTTTATTATCACAGGCACGTGGCTGAAAGGGGATCAGGCTGAGAACTAAATCTCCAAGATGTGCATCCTATTGAAAGCACAGGCAGATGGGCAGAGGCGAGGCGGTGGGGTTGCCTTGTACATAAGAAAAGAAATTGGATCAGTAGCAAGAAGTGATATAGAGTTGGAAGGTGTAGAATCTGTGTGGGTACAGATAAGGAACCGCAAAGGGAAAAAGTATCCTGATGGCAGTTAATACAGGTCTCCTAGCAGTAATCAGGATGTGGGGTAGAAAATAAATCAGGAGATAGAAAAGGCGTGCAAGTATGGCAGTACAACAATAATCATGTAGGACTTCAATATGCAGGTGGTCTGGGGTAAGCAGGTTGGTAGCAGATCCCAAGGAAAGGAATTAGTGGAATGATTTGGGCAGCACGGTGGCTCAGTGGTTAGCACTGCTGCCTTACAGCGCCAGTGACCCGGGTTCGATTCCAACCTTGGGTCACTGTCTGTGTGGAGTTTGCACATTCTCCCCATGTCTGCGTGGGTTTCTTCCAGGTGCTCCGGTTTCCTCCCATATTCCAAAGATGTGCAGGCTAGGTGGATTGGCCATGTTAAATTGCCCACAATGTTCAGGGATATGTAGGTTAGGGTGGGTTATAGGGGAATGAGTCTGTGGGATGCTCTGAGGGTTGGTGTGGACTTTTGGGCCGAAGGGCCTGTTTCCACACTGTAGGGATTCTATGATGATGATCTATAACTATGAGATTTTTTTTGGAGCAGCTTGAGGTAGAGCCCATGAGGGAACAGGCAGCCTGGATTTGGTGATGTGTAGTGAGGCAGACTTGATTGGGGAGCTTAAGCGCAAGGTACCCCTCGGGGGAGAGTGATCATAATATGATAATATTTACCCTGCAGTTTGAAAAGGAGAAACTGGAATCAGATCTAATGATATTACAATTGAGTAAAGGTAATGAGAAAAACTTGAGGGAGGAGCTGGCCAGAATTGATTGAAAGGGAAATGTAGCAGGGAAGGAGTGGCAGGAGCAATGGCAGGAGTTTCTGGGGGTAATTTGGGAGGCACAGCAGCAATTCATCCCAAGGAAGAAGAAACCGTCTAAGGGGAGGACAAGGCAACCGTGGCTGGCAAGGGAAGTCAGGGACAGTGTAAAAGCAAAAGAAAAAGTATATAGTGTGGTGAAGACAGGAGGAAGCTGAAGGATTGAGCAGTCTTTAAAAGCCAGTATAGGATAACTAAACAAAACAATAAGGGGAAGAAGATGAAATATGAGGGTAAGCTAGCTGGTAATATAAAAGAAGATTGTATGAGTGGACATTGGGCCACTGGAAAATGAAGCTGGAGTAGTAATAATGGGCAACAAAGAAATGGTAGAGGAACTGAATAGGTACTTTGCATCACTCTTCACAGTGGAAGACACCAGTAGCATACCAGAACCTCAAGAGAATCATGGGGCAGAGGTGAGTGTATTGATTATCACTAAGGAGAAGGTACTGGGGAAGCTGAAAGTCTGAAGGTAGATAAATCACCCAGGCCAGATGGATTACACCCCAGAGTTCTGAAGGAAATAGTGGAGGCATTAGTGGTGATCTTTCAGGAATCACTGGAATCAGGGAGGGTCCCAGAGAACTGGAAAATGACTCATGCAATATCATTATTTAAGAAGGGATGGAGACAGAAGTCAGAAAATTATAGGTCCCTTAGCCTGACATCAGTCATTGGTAAGATTTTAGAGTCCATTATTAAGGATGACATTGTGGATTACTTGGAAGTGCATGGTAATATAGCGCTGAGCCAGCACGGTTTTATCAAAGGGACATCATGCCTGATAAATCTGTTAGAATTCTATGAGGAGGTAATGAGCAAGTTAGACAAAGGAGAACCAGTGGATGATCCATTTGCATTCCCAGAAGGCCTTTGACAGGGTGCTGCACAGGAGGCTGCTAAATAAAATAAGAACCAATGGTGTGAGGGAAAGGTACTGGCATGGATAGAGGATTGGCTGACTGGCAGAAGGCAGAGACTGGGTAGAAATGTCTCTTTTTACACAATGGCAGCTAGTGACTATTGGTGTTTTACAGGGGTCAGTGCTGAGACCACAACTATTCACATTATATATTTAAACATCTGGATGAAGACACAGGGCCTTGTTGCTAAGTTTGCAGATGACACAAAGATAGGTAGAGGGACAGGTAGTGTTGAAGAAGCAGGGAGGCTGCAGAAGGTTTTGGACAGGCTACAAGAGTGGCAAAGAAGTGGTAGATGGACTACAGTTTGGGAAAATGTGAGGCCATGTACTTTGGTAAAAAGAATAGACTATTTTATAAATGGGGAAATGCTTCAGAAATCTGAAATGCAAAGGGACCTAGGAGTCATAGTTCAAGATTTTCTTAGTTATCGTGCAGGTTTAGTGGCATTTAGGAAGGAAAATGCAATGTTAGCATTAATTTCAAGAGGGCTAGAATACAGGAGCAAGGATGTACTGCTGAGGCTGTCTAAGGCTTTGAATGGACTGGAATATTGTGAGCAGTTTTGGGTGCCATGTCCAAGGAAAGGTGTGCTGGCCTTGGAGAGGGTCCAGAGGAGTTTAACAACAATGATTCCAAGGATGAAAGGCTTGTCAAACGAGGAAAGGTTGAGGACTCTGACATTGGAGTTTTGAAGGATGATGGATGATCTGATTGAGACTTAAGATTACTGAGAGGCCTGGATAGAGTGGATGTGGGGAAGATGTCTTCACTATCAGGAGAGACTAGAAGCTGAGGGTACAGCCTCAGCATAAAGGGACAACCCTTTAGAACTGAGATGAGTAGGAATTGTTAAACCAGAGAGTGGTTAATCTGTGGAACTCATTGCTGCAGGAGGCTGTGCAGGCCAGGTCATTGAGTGTCTTTAAGATGGAGATGGATTGGTTCTTTATTAGTAAGGAGATCAAGGGAAGAAGGCATGAGAATAGGGTTGAGAAACATATCAGCTATGATCAAATTGTGGAACAGATTTGATGGGTAAAATGGCCTAATTCTGCTCCTACATCTTATGGGCCTATGGTCCAAAATCAGAAACTGCTGGTAATCATTCAGAACATCAAGCAGCATCGACAGAGAGAAACATTGTAATGTTTCAGGTTAATGACCTTTCATTAGAAGTTCCTTTAATGGTGTCAGTGGGATAAATATTGACTCAGCTATGTGGGAAAATTTTCTAGTTTCTCTTCAAATGATGACAGGGGATCTTTTGTGTTTATTTGAAAAATCAAGTATCTTCCAGCTGATCTGAAACGCAGGGCTCCTAACAGTGTGATAGTCCTTCTGTGGAGTGCTAGAGTGTGCGCTTAGATTTTGTATGAATGTCTGTGGAGTGAGGCTTGAGTTCCCAACTTTCTGACCTAGAGGTGAATACTAACATTGAGTCAGACTATCTCCCCATAACAATAGCTGAGGATCTCTATGATAGACAAAGAAAACTGAAAATAAAAAGGAAGAACTCATTGTCCCAAATATGCACTGTTCTTCTTCAAGTCAGTTATCTGTAGGCCCTTGGATCTAAAGTCCTAGCCTCTTAATTATTGCGTGTAGCTTTACCAGTAGGTGTTGTGCTTTACCAACATCAAAAGAATTTTATATCACTGGCGAAGACATCATTTATGGTCCATTCCTGGTTGCCTTCAGAAAGCAGTGAACCAGCTATAATGTATTTTGATTTTCTCCTCGTTCCTAAAAGATATGTACCTTGTTCTGGACGCTGATGGATTATTATATACAATATACTTTGCTGTAATGGGATTGAATATCTTGATAAATCAAAAAAAATCCTAAATTTCCATCATCTTTTGAAACACTTGTGCATTTTTTCTTTCAAATTTGATTTTGACTTTTGTTTATTTCCCTGTTATTGACATGTCAAATGCCTAACTTATTTCCAGTGTGCTGGGAGATTTTAGACAATGGGTTTGAACTGTTTTTAAAAAAGTGTAAGAAATAGAAAGGTAGAAATGGAGAGTTTTTTAGGGAGGGA